GGCCCGCGCCACGTTCCGGATGGGGATCTTGAACCCAAACATCTCCAGCCCGATCAGGCCCGCCTGCCCCCCCCCCCAATCCATCACCAGCACAGCACCCAGCACAGCACACAGCACAGCACACAGCCCAACAAAAGGGAGGGGAACCTCCGGTGAGGCGCAACGACACCACGCGGTGGGGCAGCCACCAGCCACCACCGCCAGCCACCACCCAGTCCATAGCCGCGCATGCATCGTTTCCTGGCCAACGCCCCCTCAAGAACGCCGAGAGAGAGAGAGAGAGAGAAGCGGACAAAGTGGGTTTGGGGAGGAGAGACAGTACCGCCCACACGTCCTTTTTGGTGTAGTCGTAGTCCGCCGGCAATGGCTGCCCTGAATTGAGCTCTGCAAGAAAGAAGCATTCATTATTCAATTCTACCTTATCTATCTCTATCTCTATCTCTATCTCTATCTCTATCTCTATCTCTATCTCTATCTATCGTATATAAAGTGGGGGAAGGAAGAGGTGTAGGAGTGGGTACCGGGTGGGTTGTAGTTGGGAGAGCCGTGATTGCCCGACGACGACGACTTGCTGTGCGCGACGTGGGGACAGAAGAGGAGGAGGAAGCACAATGAAAAGCAGATCAAGGGTCAGCCGCGCGAGAGCAGAACGCGTGCATTGTTGTTGGGGGGTGGGCAGACGCGTAGGGTGGATTCGGGAAAGGGGCGTACGCGCTGGTGAAGGAGGCCAGACCAAAGTCGCCCAGGCACAGGGTACGGCGGTCGCGCATGAGGATGTTGTCCGGCTGCGTGTGTCGCGTGTGTCGCGTCGTTGCGTGTCGTTGCATGATGAGGGAGAAGGACAGGTGGATGCTGCTGCTGCTGCTGCTGCTGCTGCTGCTGCTGATGCTGCTGCTGCTGCTGCTAGGCATACCTTGAGGTCCTCGTGGACGACGCCGCGCGCGTGATGGTAGGCGAGGCCGGCGAGCAGCTGGCACAGAAAATCCGTGACCTCGTTCTCGGGCAGTTGGGTGCCCCAGAAGCCACACTCCTGGGAGGCTCCCTCTGCTTCGAGCCCCTACTTCCTCGTCCGCCTCCTCCTCCTCCTCCTCCGCCGCCGCCGCCGCCGCCGCCGCCGCGTCGTTGCCCTCGTGGTGGCTACGCTGGCGCGACCTGGTTTCGTCCGCGCGGTGGGCTGTTGCGACGGCCACGATCTCCCGATCGAGATGAGATCGCAGGGAGCCCTCCGCGCAGTACTCGAGCACCAGGTGCAGACCCTCTTCTCCATAGTAGGTTTCTACCCATTCGTTGTGGCGTGTGTGTCGTGTGTGTGTCGCGTGTGTCGTGTGTCGTGTGTGTGTGTGTGTGTGTGTGTGTGTGTGTGTGTGTGTGTGTGTGTGTGTGTGTGTGTGTCGTGTGTGCTGTGTGTGAGCAAGAGGTATCGCCGCTGGCGGTGCAGCAAGCGGGCGGGGCGTGCACCTGTGAGAGGGGTGCTGCACTGGTCACAAAGAGGCCCCGTGTCCTCGAATTTAGTCTGGAAGCACTGCGGGCAGTAGTAGCGCGGCGGCGGCGGGTGCGAGCCTAGCCACCAGACAACACCACACGATAAAGGAGAGAGAGGTGAGCAACGGTGATGCAGATATGTGCACGCCCCGCAGTAGGAAAACAGAGATGTGCCTGCAAATCGCCAAGCGCACTCTGAAACGGAGTTGTGGAGTGCTTGTGCGGTGGTGCGCGTGCGTGTGCGAGACGGTGGTGGTAGGGCCTAGGTACCCACGTAGGCGCAGTAGAGCTTGACGAAGGAGGGGCGGGGGAGGGCGAGCATGGTGATGTACTCGCCCAGCTGCGCGTAGAGCCAGCGCCAAAAGTCGTCGCGGCGCTCCTCGCCGGCCAGCTTCTCGATCTTCTTCATGTACTCGAGCCCGATGTAGTCGATCAGGGGCTCGTCCGCTCCGCCCTTGGCTCGCCGCTTTTCCCTCGCCTTGGCACGGGCGCTCTGCAGGCAGGCAGGCAGGCAGGTGGCGGTGGCGGCCCGTTAGCTTCCATCCCACAATCAGCCGATCAGGAGGGGGGAAAGGGAGAGAGGGGGGAGAGGGGGGGGGTGCTGCGTGCCATGGGCTGGGCCGAGGTCTGCTTGTCGTAGAAGGGGTAGATGCTCTTCACCGCGTACGACTTGCCTCGGTACACCATCCGCCGAACCAGCCCATCAGCACCGCTTCCCAGCACCTGCACACGGGCGGTCCATCATGGCGGCGAACCACGTCAACCATATACGTGGACCCATAAAGAGGGAGG